GTTGTTAGCCTTTTCACTTGTAATTTGTCTGTTAATTTTTTAACCCTTTTTCTGCAGTGGCCATTTTGATCTTATCGTCAGGGCAAAATCACATTTGTGAATTGAAACAATTATGGAGAACTTATCTTTTATTGGGTTTCAGATTTTATTTTTGTAAATAGTAGCATAACTTTCAATTCTTTGTACAAAATTGTATTATTTAATGAAGTTTAAAGAGGAATTTAATGAAAAAAATCCTAAAATACGTTTTAGACTGTAAATAAGTGCCCTCTAACAAGAAAATTTTTTTTAAATATTTCCTTCCACTTCAGCACTGGTCATGCCATCTATGATTGGTATCTAAACCTTTTTCTAGTCTGTTTTCTTTATAAAACAGCATCTTGGCATGTTAAACCTCAGTCGTAAAACTTTTAGCCAATCCTAGTCGAAGGTGTCAATTTCGGTACCATGTTATTCCAATCGCTGTATCTCACGTTTGACAAATCATAAGATGATAAGGAAAGCATGTGACGAAACCTTGTTCTCTGGATTTTACAATATGAATGTGACTAGTGCTTATTATAGTAACTGCCATGTTATGTAGAGGTTGTATTTAGTACTGGCCAATAGTGCTTTTCTATAAGCTTTAGAAAACTTGCTTCTGGAAAAAACTGCATGGTATGTACATGACTTTTATTATTTTTATATAGTAGTTTAAGTCATGCTGCATCGTATATCTATTTATATTAATCGTTATATTGAAAAATTAGCTGAAAATGGATATATTTTTTAGGAAAGAATTTGAGCCACGATTGTTAGGGTTAAGAGCTATCGAGTGGCGAGTGCAAGGTCTTTACATGAATTAGGCTTAGGACTTTTAAACTCAAAGAGTTTGTGATTTTTTTTATATTCTTTTGAATTTAAATATGTAGTTTTAAGTTCAATAATTTAGCATAATTTTATATTTAGTTCACAATAATAATTACATGATTCAGTATTTAGAATGATAAACTTGTGTGATTTGTACATAATACTACTAGTACCAGTACCACATAAGAATTTTATATTTTCCCTTCTTACAATCTTTACTTTGTAGTAAGACCCACACTTCTGTTGTTATTGCTTTAGAATTAAAACAGTGTAACTGATATATATAGTTTATTCAGATATTTTACAAATGGTTTAAAACTCAGCGTACAAGTGACAACAATAAAACCCATATGTTGGTTGTGAAACAGGCTAATTACATTCATCTCAATAATACAGGGAAGCTATGACATTCTCACAGTTGGGGTCTCAATACACTGAAGAGCTTAAGTTTCGAATTCCAACATAAATCTTGCCTATAATGAGAGGAATGTGATCAGTACTAATCTTTTAAGTGCTGTAAAGTAAATTACTTTGTAATTTATGGTGTCTGTATCATTTGGTAATCTCTTCTAACAGGATGT